TTGCCTCCATCAGCTTAAAAGGTGAGTATTATTATCCCTGTTTGTGGGCTATGACTGTATGACTCACAGTCACCACCACCTGTAGATAGCTGTCCTGGTGGAGGGATGGCTTCCTGCCTACTCCCACTGTCCACTGTGCTGACTCACCCAATGTTCTGACATCAAGACGAAAGTGTATAAAATAAAACACAAAGGTCTTTTACAGTATTTGACATTGGGAACATAAGAACAGTGGAGAAGAAACGAGGTTTGAAATGAACAGAGTCAGAAGCTAGTCTACAGAAAATTCTTCCAAATCTTACAGCTCATATATAAAAGAAACTTGATAGGAGTTTTCTCACATTTGACAACCAACCAAATATTGCCAATAATGAATTGAGAAGTTGAAATGAAATGAATCCATCCCAGAAAATGGCACAGAAGAATTGTGTGTCTCTGCCAAATTCTTGCCCGCCAGTCTGATCTCACAAAATCAAGGTTCCAATAGGCTTTTTTTTTTTTTGCCAGCAAAGTTTGGACATTCAGACTAGCCTTAACTTCAAGGGGGTCTAGGAAATGAAATATAATATTGAAATCTTTCTTGTAACCCTTGATTGAAAAGGGTGCTAAGTGAATGCACAGTATCTGTCATTCAAGTTATTTAATGCCCTCCTGCAACCACTGCATGGGTTATATTATGTTGTTTGAATCTGCAGAAAACAAGAAGGCTAAGAAAACCATCTATGGAACCAACTGAACTACTTATAGAAAGTAAGAGGACCTTGTTACTATCTGTTACAAATCCTCCCTCCTCTCTGATAGTGGACACAGTGTTTTGTCAACCTATCCACTGAGCCTCAAAGAAATTAACAGACATTTCAAGGTCTCTGCTGAGCAGCTGTGCAGTCAGAATTTGGAACTAGGCTCCCAAGCTCCAAGAGCCCAGCTCTTCCTGTTACCAGGCTGAAAAGATGTGGATCATTTATAAAAGAGATTCTGTTTCTGACATTTCTCTTACATCCTGTCACCTGGCACATTTGAGACACATGAGACAGTTAACCAAAAATGCAACTCAACTGATACAGGACAAGTTCCAGTCTACAGTGGAGAAAGGTCTATATTATTTTATTTCCACAAGGACAAGTTAATCGGTTCATCGGAACAAAATACTGATGTTAGATCACCAGAAATTCATACTTCTAAACTCAGGCTGACATTCAAGTAGAAAAATATGTCCCTACCTGGAGAAGCCACATGAACTAATGACCGTCCTCCAGTGATCATAGCCAGGGTAAGAACTGCAATCAGGTCTCCAGGCCCTGGGACTGTCTTTGATAGACAAGCCAGTCCGTATAATTAAGAGGCCACTTCCCCAACCAGCTCTGGTTTTCCTGGGATGAATCCAGCGAGGAGTGAGCTCCTGTCACATGTAGGGTGCCCCAGCTTTGCTGTCACACTCATGAGGGGGCTGCCCTTTGTGGGGGTGTGAGGCACTGGAGCGCAGGGAAATGCCCTCTGAGAGATGTGGAAGAGAAGGGGTTACTCAGGTTGAGGTGGGGAGTGTATTGTGTGTGTGTGCTCAGTTGAGTGTGTGGGTTGTTTTCTGTCTCCGTGCATGGGGACACCGGTGCCTCATGGGCAAGAACTTGCAGTGTGCCAGGGCACCGGGCATACCTAGGACAACTAGGAGTTAGCTGCATACCCCCTCCGTCTTTCCAGACTGACCCTCAGGGCCCTGTCATGTTCCTCCCACCCACGGTGTGCAGGGCCACGTGACACGAGGATTCCCTTCCTCGGATCCTCCCTGCAGCCTCAGGACACCCATGTGCAGGAGCTGAGCCCCTGAGAGACAAAAATTAAGGGGCCCTTACGGCTGTGCTCCCACAGCCGCCTCCAGAAGAGTGCCCCCTCCCTCTATCCGCTATGTAACAGCAAAGCCAGCATATGTTTGGCAGTAGGGGAAGAGGTACATCCCCCGAGAAAGTCTGGACCCTGGGGTGTGGACAGAAATGCTCAATGTTCTCATCAGAATACTTTTGGCTCCAAGATACAGAACTTAATTAAAAGTTTCTTAAATGATCTGATTTTATTTTGTACATACCATTCTCCAGGGTCCTTGGAGAAATGACTGGCTCCAGGGTAACGGACAGGGAAAGGGCAAGACAAACCTGGCTTATAGTGCTGTGCCAGATATTAAATGTTATGGGCTGAATTGCCGCCTCCCAAAATTCCTATGTTGAAGTCTTAGCCCCTCATACCTCAGAATGTGACTGTATGTGGAGATAGGCCTTTTAAGAGGTGATTAACTTAAAATGAGGTTGTATGGATGGGTACTAATCTGACTGGTGTCCTTAAAAAAGAGATTAGGACACAGACACATACAAAGGTAAGACCTTGTGGAGAGCCAATGAGAAAGAGGCCGTGTACGAGCCAAGGAGACAAGTGCCTGAAGAAACCAACCCTTGATCTTGGACTTCTAACCTCCAGAGAATATAAAATTCTCTTGTTTAAGTCACCTAGTCTGTGGTATTTGTTACAGCAGCCCTAGCAAACTAATACACTCTACCTTCAAAACATATCAAGAATTGAATCATTTCTTGCCACTCCTTTGCCTGGAATACTGAGCACTGCTTCCTGCTTCCACCCTGACCTCCACCATGGTTTTAATATGAAAACCATGTTAAATCAGATCGCAGCCCTGCTGTGCTTCAACCCTCCAGTGGCTCCCATCTAGTTCAGAGTAAAAATCAACACCCTTACAACAGCCACATGGCCCCAGGTAGATTGTTACCTCTCAGCTCTCATCTACGACTTGCTCCCTGGCTCCAGATACCCTGGCAGAACATGTAGCCACAGGGCCTTTGCAATGGCTGCTTCTCTGCCTGGGAAATGCTTTCTAGGTATATGTGAAAGGCTAACTCACCATCTTCTTGAGTTCATTACTCAAAAGTCACCAGCTCAGTGACACTGTCCCCAACCACACTGTACAAAATTGCACCTCCCCATTCCCCCTTGCCTTCTGTGCTCTTCTCAGCATTTGGCTATCTACTATGACACCTATCTTACTAAACTTTCACCTGTTTCCTCAACAAGGAGGTAGGACCCACAATGACACCATTTTTTTAGCAGTCTCGCTCACTGGTGGGTCCCCGGGTGTCTACAACAGTCTGGCACATGGCAGGAGTTCAGTCAATACCTTGGGACTGAAGGAACCAAGTGAGGCCCCACTGAATCCTGGGTATTCATGAGTTGGTCATCTCAGAGTTCGACCCCACAACAGCCCAACCACAATGACCGGACTACCAGAAGCCTCGTCCTCCCAGCTCCTCAGGTTGGCACAGATGTTCTACCCGTTGCTGGCTAGCCTGAGGGGGGAGCCTAGAAATGTCTGTGGGACAAAGATGTGGAGTAAGTCCCAGATGTCACTGACCAGTATTCAGGGCATATCAATGCCAAGAACTGCTCAAGCGCTGGTCAGAGCTGACAGCAGAGCCCTTGAGGAAGGAAGGAAACAGGGAGAGTGTGGCGAGAGTAGCGTCCAGGCGTGGAAGCACAAGAGGAGCGGTCAGGGGAGAGGCCAATCCCAGCTGAAGAGTCTGGCCGACCACGTGAAACCTGAAGACGGGCCTCCGAGACTGCAGTCCAGTGGCAGAGGCGGCTCCAGCCGGGCAGCAGTGACCAGGGACACCACCCTTCCTGGAGCTCCTGGTCTGCAGACTCAGAGCCCCTTGGCTGACGGGGATGAAACTCTCCCTCCCAAAGGGGGGGTCACTGAGATGAGGAGAGGGGAGCCAATAGCCCAAAGTGACACCACCTGGAAGACGAAGTCCTCGCAGCTTGCTTTCTCAATTTTTAATTTTTTTTTGTATTTTGAACATGACCTTTATGCATGGAGGTGAATGGTCAGCGACTCATACTCCTTTCAGAGACACAGCTCGCTTAGAAACAGAACCTGTGGTGCCAGACCTGGCGCCAAGGCCAGAGGAGCCGCTGGACATTGGGCCGCTGTGGCTGGAGTTCTGTCTAGTCAAGGGAACCCGGACACCACGGAAAGCTTTGCCCACAAGCCTGCTGCTTGTCTTCCAGTCTCCAGGGAACCCGTCAGATTCTATTAGGAAGCAGTCTGATTATTTGAACTGGTCGCAGCCTCTCTGGAGTTGTTTGGGTGGGAAGGAGGAGAATGCACCTGGCAGTGGTCGCCTAACCAGTAGCCATCCCTCCCTACCCCCCACACGCCACCGTCACTCCCCATCTCCCAGGCTCTCTTTGCTGTGCTGCTGGCTGGGCAGCAGAAGCCCCACAGGTCCAGCTGATATATGTGAGTGGTCTGGGCCTGCCAGGGCAGCTGCCCATGCTTGGCTTGAGAGTGAAAATGTGACCCAGTACGGGGCCATGAAAGGTGGAAGCAAGACAGCCAGGATTATGGGAAAAATTTTGCTCCTGGATAAAAGAGGCAAGCAAGGAGCAACATATTTCCTCACTGCTTTTGGACATTTCCAGGCAAGAGTGTGCCGCCAGAAGCCACTGCAGAGATAGGAGACACGCAATCATTTCCAGACACAGGACCGGCACCGTGGAAAAGCCTGCGTCCCAGGGGGCCTTGCCAAGCTGCTGAGCTGAATAGGAGCCACCTACCTACCTGTCTTCCTGTTTCAGAGACACTGAACATCCAGGCTGTGGAAACCCTTTGGAGTCAAGTTCTACTTTTTCCAGCCAGATGCAGCCTAAGGGGACAAGGAGCTCCCCTCATGGTCCAAGGCAGCCGCCATCAAAGACTTTTCCCCTGGAGTACAGCACCCTGTCTGGCCTACATGGCTTCCTACCAAATATGCTCTGTAGTTGTTACGTGACCAGGCCTGTGGGGAGCACTGACGGCTGCCCAGGGCCTTCGCTGGAAGGAACCTCAGGCTTCTCAAGCGAAGACAAATAATGAGGCTTCCCTCCTACTTCGACTGCTTCCAGGTGGTTTAAAAGCATCAGTGAATCCATGTTTTGAGGTAGCTAATTATCGGCCTTTCTATTTATAGCAAATTTTTCGTGCCCCTTAAAAAAAATGTCTTTACCATTTGTAAAGTGTCAAAAGGAAACTGAAAGTGAAATTCTCAACTTTGGTATAAAAGCTGGTCCTTGAGCAAACTTTCAAGAGCACCTCAAATATCACCATGGCTCTGGTAAGTTCCCTGGAAATTCCCACAGAGGCGCCACTGCCTGAGGGCTCATCCCCTTCTCTAAAGGTAAAGGCCTCAGTCTGGGCTCCTGGCCTTGGGCACAGTTAACTCAGAGCACTTTGGAGAGGCTTCTTAGGATGGTTTCATGGGAAACTTGCTTCAAAGTCCTTCGCCCGCAGGACTGTGAGATTTCCTGGCAGAATGAGAGTCCACTCGGCCTCTGAAGGGGCTGGGGTGCCTGGGGTTTGTGCTTGCCTCCGCTAGGGAAGACGACGGGGTGTGGGTTCCCAGCAGGGGGCACCCGCTGGGGAAGGGGACAGAGTGTAGGCCTATGGCAGGGGGCACCCACTAGGGAAGAGGATGGGGTGTGGGCTTACACGAGGGAGTGAAGCCCACCTTGTCTGCCTCGGCTGCTGCCTGGAGTTGGCTGCATTCCCACCTCTGGTCTTTCTCTCTCCCCTCTCCTCATGGCATCCATCCTGTCCTATGAAGTGCATTTGAATTTCAGCATTCTGACTCAGAAACCTCCCCTCCTATCACCCTGAGGTCCAGATTCACACAGGTCCGGGGAGGGGCAGACCAAGTTGAGTGGTGTGAGCTGAAGAGGACCTGCTGGCTGGCTGGGGAAGTTCATCAGAACAGGGGCGATTCTGGGAAGGTGCCCTGCACACCCAGAGGGGCCGCTCTGTGAGGAGTGTGGGCCTGGGGGAGGGCTTTGCCAAGGCTCTGTTGCCTGGGAAAGGGAAACTGTCTCCTTATGCAGGCAGGGTCCAAGCTCACATTTTATCTGTCACCAGGTTGCTATGAACAGTGCCCAGGGCTTGCCTTATACAGATACTTGGTTTCAGAGCAAAAAATCCCCTTGTGATTCTGAAGTGAGACTGTCTCTGGGCTTGCCCTGCCCTGGCTGAGAGCAGGCGGTGGCTGGTGGCCGTCCTGGCCCTGCTGACCCTCCAGCCCTCTTCCATGTGTATTTCCTTTGACCTTGTTCCCAGCCAGGCCCTGCTAGGGAGGGATGAGCACCAGGAGCCGGCCAGAACGGAGCTCAACATGCGGAGGGGCCAGGACACTGAGACCCACATGGGGCACGTGGGGAGAGGTGGAGGGCCAGGGGCCTGGGGACCCAGAGAGTGACAGCTGAGCCAGGCTGGGCCTTCAGGGTGGCTTCTCAGAGGAGGGGTGGTGACCGGGGAGAAGAGGAAGGGTGGCTGTGGGGAAGGTGGCTGGTGCAGAAGCTCCGGATGCGCAGAGCGGCAGGGGCCGTGGTGAGCTCTGCGGTGAATGAAAGGGCAGGCCCCCCAGGCAGCCTGGGCAGGGGGCATGAGGGGCCTGCGAGCTGCCCCCTGGGAAAGCCCTGCACCTGTGCCCTGAGGCCAGAGGAAGGTCTTGGCCACAGTGGGTCTTGGGGAGACTGGGTGTGAAGTGGGAGGGACAGGACGCTGTGGGCCAAAGGTGAGGGTGCTGAAGTGAATTCAGGAGAAACTTCCAGGGTCAGCATTGTTCATCACCCTGGGATGGAGGCAAAGCTAAGCTACCCGCTGGCCTCCAGTGGGATGGCTCGGAATGGGGCAGGAGGGGGTTTGTCATCCACTGAGATCAGGCACAGAGAAGGAGAAAACCGGAAAGTTCTCAGGTTACCAAGCTGCAGTGTCTGGGTGTGAGAAGCGAGGAGCCAGGAGCCGGCAGGAGCTGGTGGGGTGGAGGACAGAGATGCAGTAGGACATGCGTGAAACAGTAGAGAAAACCCGGCTCGGCCGCTTCCCAATGAGAGGTCCTGGGCAGTTCTCTCTGGTCCTCAGTTTCCCCACCTGAGCAGTAGGGTGGTGCTTCCTTCCCCGAGCCGAATGAGGGATGCGGCTCAGGAACAGCGCGGGCAGGGGTCCTCCACTCCCAGTGCTGGAAGCCATGGCCCCAGGAGAGCCCCTCTAGGCACAGTCTCTTTAGGATGTTGTCAGCCCCTGTCTCATAGGTTGTCATGTCCAAGGTGGGGGTGTCCCAGGGCTGGAGGGAACAGAGTCAGAGGAAGATGGGGTGCCTGATGCAGCCATGGACAACCAGGGTTGTCAGGACAACATACTCAGGAGCACGTAACGAATGCACCTGCATATGCAGGTCTGCATGCCCAGCACGTGTGTGTCTACACACACAACACGCATGTACAGCACACGCAACATGTATACAGGCATGCATGACATGCCCACATGCACACATGCACGCACACAGAACAGCATGTACATGCCCACACATGCATAATATACTTACACTGGACAACTCTCCACTCTCCCATTCCACAAGGTGCTTTTTCTAGGCTTCCAGACCCTGGCTGTGGGAGAACCTATAAGAGTGACAGCAGGCTGAGGACCCCACAGGGGCCAGGATCTCTTCCTCTCCCCCAGGCTCTCACAGGGGGATGAACATGAGCAAGGAGGTCCCCCAGCCGAACTACAGCTCCCCTGCCGGGGTCTCTGCTCTTGGCCAAAAGGCTGTCTACATCATCTTGGGTTTTTTTGCAGTGCAAAGAACTCAGCCCTGGAGACCTGATTGAGATTTTCCGCATTGGCTATGAGCACTGGGCCATCTACGTGGGAAATGGTTACGTGATCCATCTGGCTCCTCCAAGTAAGGAGTGTTGAAAATATAATGATCGAAATATCTGTTAAAATAACGAGAACAAGTGAAGGAAAGAGCTGAGCGGGGCAAACCTGAGTGGGCTTCCCGCTGAGCAGGACTTGAGCACAATGTACACCCATGTATCACTGAGTAACCACAGTGGGGTCCCAGAGGCCCTGACAGAAGCAGCAAAAGAGGGCTCTGGGCTCCGGCAGTGAAGCCGGGCTGCTTCTGTGTTCCCATCTCTCCAGCTCAGAGCTGGGTGTGTAGAGTCTCATGCGATTCAAACCAGCAAAGCCTCTGAAGGTCAATGTTACATAAAGAATAACGGTTCTCCGTGTATGTCCTCTGTACTCATATCGTTCCACAGGCAAGATTACCTTGAAAGTATTTACCTAATACCCCTTAACCGAAGCAGCTCTCACAGATGTTACACATTAAAATAGTAACAATAATAAACCCTCCCACAAATACATATGCATAGTGAGTACATATGAATGATTTCTTTAACCATTCATAACAGAAGCCCAGGCTGGCAAAGCCAGCTAAAAGGAGAATGCAGGAAACAGATGTATGTCTAGTCAGTGAAATAAAAACAAATGCTGGAATAAGACAGCCAAATCAGATGCAGATTGGTTCACACCCTCCAGAGGATTGGCACCATAACCTTTGGAGTTCTCTTCTCTACCAAATGTTTGTATTGTTACTGGAAAAGATCTCAGTCACTATGATCAGAATAATATATTTGCATCTTACTAGTTTTCTACAAGTTATCATCTACCTTGGAAAATATTGTAAAAATGTCTGGATAGATGGTTAATAGTAAATCAAGCTCACTTAATCCAGATGGCACTTGGGCCTTGTAGGAGAAAGCATGTGGTGAGGACATGTGGTCCTGATTGTGCCTCTTGGCTGTGGGGAGTTTTTCTTAAGGGGCTGGATTCTGAGTGCAAATACAAGCCATTAAGAAGAAGCATGAAACGAGCATCCTCAGTTAGTGTGCCCATTGGTCACTCTCCCCTTGGAAGGTAGAACTCGGACTCACTACAGAATGGAATTTGGATCCATGAGCTGAGAGCACTTCTGGGGACCTCTCTGTGTGCCCAGAACTGTGCCAGGTCCCAGAGAGCAGATACTTATGGGAGAGAGTCCCTGACATCAGCTCAGTGCTGGGGAAGGAGCCTGCCTTTGGAGCTGGACAGAGGCAGCCTCACATTCTGGTTCTAGGACATCTCACAGCACAGGAAAGTCTGATTCTGTCTCTCTGGGTCCAATATTAGCTGCAAAAGGGACATGAGAATATTTACCTAGAAAGAGAAAAAAGGAGACACAATTAGGTAATCCACATATGAAAAGGAGCACAGCCTTGTGTCTGAAACACAGTGGGGACTACAAATTTTATCTCTTTCACAAGTGCCGAAAGATGAACAAACAACAGATGTGCCTTACCATCGGTGCTTTTAATGGCCAAATTTTTGAGTAACCTAAATACTCAAGAACAGGGGATTAGTCAAATAGATGATATTCCTTCATATGATGGAACACAATGGCCGCCATTGAAAATCATGACATTCATTGACTTGAAAACGTAGTCACAGCTTGTTAAGTAGAAAGAGTGAACTTGTCAGATCCTCCACATTTCTGAAGAGACAGCACCAAAGCTCACTAGTAGATTCTCCCCACCCTTCTTTCTTGTCCTGCCCCTCCTTGGTCCCTCCCTCCCTCCCCTGTAGATTGGGTGACAGTGTCTCTGATTGCAGGTGAGTACCCTGGGGCTGGCTCCTCCAGCGTCTTCTCTGTTCTGAGCAGCAGGGCTGTGGTAAAACGGGAACTCCTGAAGGATGTGGTGGGGGGCTGCCATTATCGAGTCAACAATGACTTGGACAAAAAGTACATACCACAGCCTGTGAACGTGATCATCTGTTCTGCAAAGGAGAAGGTTGGTGAGGAGATGGTGTATAATATTCTGGACAGAAACTGTGAGCACTTTGTCACTGACCTGAGATATGGCAAGGCTAAGAGCGAGCAGGTAAGGTCCTCTTTGGGGTGAAGTCTGCTTGGTTGGTGTGGGATTAGGGGTGGCGGTAATGTGGCTGTGCAGCCAGAGGGGAGCATCATTGTCTGTTATGCAAACTCGGGCTCTTGGGGACCCACTGGACGTCTGAACTCAAATCTCAGATCTGCTTCTAATCCACTAAGCGTCTTTGGACAAGTCACTTCCTCTCTGGGCCTCATGTGGGTTGTCAGGGAGAGTCGGGGCCGACCCAGCACCATGGCAGGTGTCCTAAAGGCCCCAGAAGTGATGCACAAGGTTTATGAGAGCTTAAGAACATTTTTGTGTAATATCTGGGGCTGTGTGTAAGATCTACAGCTTCCACCCTGTCCCCCTGCACAGTCTCCCAAGTTTGTTATCCCAAGACACACAGCTAAATAAGTGGTAGAAACCTGGTTCAAAGCCCTGCTTCCCTCTCCAGACTCTCCGCTCTTTACTGCTGTACCCAATAGCTTCAGGGCTCCGGCCCAGCTGGTTGCATCAGTGGGAGGCCCTGGGGTAGATGAGGATGAGGGCAAGACCACCAGGTTTGGCGACAGAAATCAAGAGTTGGACGTTCTGCTGGGACGTGTGAGGTGGCTGGTTAGCCATCCAGGTGGAAATGTTGGGTAGCAGTTGGGCGTGTGAGTCGGGAGCTCAGGGCTGTGGTGGAGCTGGAGGTAGGCACTTCCAGGCTTCACTTCTGAACATACACAGTGAGCCCAGAGGGCACTGCTGTGGCCTCTGCTCCCCACGCTCCCCTCAGGTGCTGCCTCAGCCCCTTCCTCTGCAGGGGTGTAGCTCTGGGAGAATCAGGACCGCAGAGCAGTCCCCAGTCCCACCCTGAGCTCTGGCCCTAGGAAACCAGGCACGAGCCCTCCTGCCTCCCCACCCCAAGTCAGGAACAGGTGTCCTCACCCAGAAGGTTCCGGGACCTATGTGAGAGACCAAGACATTTTTACGTAGGATCTGGGGCACAACTTCCACTACCCCTTCACAGTCTTCCAAATTTGTTATCCCAAAACACCCAGCTAAATAAGGGGCGGAAGCAAAAAGACTCATCAGCCCATCCTGCCAATTGTCAGGGCAAACCCAGACAAGCCAGCCGCCAGGACTTGGTCTCCACTTCCGGTTTCCCAGGAAATGAGGCCCCTGGGACACCTCAGGCTTTCTCCCCAGGGTGGGACTCTGGGTTGGGCCGCTGAGCCTAGGCCCCAGGCCCTTGGGAAGGAGGGAGACGCTGCCTGGACTTGCTGTGGATTCAAGATGGCCTACTCATTTTCAGGTGGAAAACGTCCTGATCGGAGCAGGGGTGGCCCTGGGAATCGGAATTCTGGGTGTCGTCGGATATTCTCTTTGGAAGAAACGCTCCCAAAACCAGTGAGAGCCTGCAGGAGCCACAGATTCCTGGGTAGAAGCAGCTGTGGAGGCCAGCAGAGACGGCCCCCCACAGCCCGCTGTCTACCAGCCCTCGCGCTACAGTGACCTGCAACTCTCCCTCACTTTCCCATCCTCACTGGCTGAAGAACGTGCCGAGCGTACCAATTGAACCATCAATAAATGTATCTACAGAAAGGACTTCCCCTGGGTGTTTGTAGATTTCTGGATCAGAAAGGAGGAACATTAATTCAGCATTAATTGGATACTTTCCAACAACCTTTAGCTGTGCAACCCTGGGAAAGGCTCTTGCCTCTCAGAGCCTCAGTTTCGTCCTCTCTGAGTGGGGGTAATGAACCACTTCACAGGGATGTCATGAGGGTCGCTAAGATGATATGTGAACATGGGGATGCATGTATCTTTTCAAACTAGTGTTTTTGTTTTCTTCAGATAAATAACCCCCGCCCCCAGAAGTGGAATTGCTGGAAGGCTGTGGGGAGTTTTTCTTAAGGGGCTGGATTCTGAGTGCAAATACAAGCCATTAAGAAGAAGCATGAAACGAGCATCCTCAGTTAGTGTGCCCACTGGTCACTCTCCCCTTGGAAGGTAGAACTCGGACTCACTACAGAATGGAATTTGGATCCATGAGCTGAGAGCACTTCTGGGGACCTCTCTGTGTGCCCAGAACTGTGCCAGGTCCCAGAGAGCAGATACTTATGGGAGAGAGTCCCTGACATCAGCTCAGTGCTGGGGAAGGAGCCTGCCTTTGGAGCTGGACAGAGGCAGCCTCACATTCTGGTTCTAGGACATCTCACAGCACAGAAAAGTCTGATTCTGTCTCTCTGGGTCCAATATTAGCTGCAAAAGGGACATGAGAATATTTACCTAGAAAGAGAAAAAAGGAGACACAATTAGGTAATCCACATATGAAAAGGAGCACAGCCTTGTGTCTGAAACACAGTGGGGACTACAAATTTTATCTCTTTCACAAGTGCCGAAAGATGAACAAACAACAGATGTGCCTTACCATCGGTGCTTTTAATGGCCAAATTTTTGAGTAACCTAAATACTCAAGAACAGGGGATTAGTCAAATAGATGATATTCCTTCATATGATGGAACACAATGGCCGCCATTGAAAATCGTGACGTTCATTGACTTGAAAACGTAGTCACAGCTTGTTAAGTAGAAAGAGCGAACTCGTCAGATCCTCCACATTTCTGAAGAGACAGCACCAAAGCTCACTAGTAGATTCTCCCCACCCTTCTTTCTTGTCCTGCCCCTCCTTGGTCCCTCCCTCCCTCCCCTGTAGATTGGGTGACAGTGTCTCTGATTGCAGGTGAGTACCCTGGGGCTGGCTCCTCCAGCGTCTTCTCTGTTCTGAGCAGCAGGGCTGTGGTAAAACGGGAACTCCTGAAGGATGTGGTGGGGGGCTGCCATTATCGAGTCAACAATGACTTGGACAAAAAGTACATACCACAGCCTGTGAACGTGATCATCTGTTCTGCAAAGGAGAAGGTTGGTGAGGAGATGGTGTATAATATTCTGGACAGAAACTGTGAGCACTTTGTCACTGACCTGAGATATGGCAAGGCTAAGAGCGAGCAGGTAAGGTCCTCTTTGGGGTGATCCCTCTCCCTCCTGGAAGTCTGCTTGGTTGGTGTGGGATTAGGGGTGGCGGTAATGTGGCTGTGCAGCCAGAGGGGAGCATCATTGTCTGTTATGCAAACTCGGGCTCTTGGGGACCCACTGGACGTCTGAACTCAAATCTCAGATCTGCTTCTAATCCACTAAGCGTCTTTGGACAAGTCACTTCCTCTCTGGGCCTCATGTGGGTTGTCAGGGAGAGTCGGGGCCGACCCAGCACCATGGCAGGTGTCCTAAAGGCCCCAGAAGTGATGCACAAGGTTTATGAGAGCTTAAGAACATTTTTGTGTAATATCTGGGGCTGTGTGTAAGATCTACAGCTTCCACCCTGTCCCCCTGCACAGTCTCCCAAGTTTGTTATCCCAAGACACACAGCTAAATAAGTGGTAGAAACCTGGTTCAAAGCCCTGCTTCCCTCTCCAGACTCTCCGCTCTTTACTGCTGTACCCAATAGCTTCAGGGCTCCGGCCCAGCTGGTTGCATCAGTGGGAGGCCCTGGGGTAGATGAGGATGAGGGCAAGACCACCAGGTTTGGCAACAGAAATCAAGAGTTGGACGTTCTGCTGGGACGTGTGAGGTGGCTGGTTAGCCATCCAGGTGGAAATGTTGGGTAGCAGTTGGGCGTGTGAGTCGGGAGCTCAGGGCTGTGGTGGAGCTGGAGGTAGGCACTTCCAGGCTTCACTTCTGAACATACACAGTGAGCCCAGAGGGCACTGCTGTGGCCTCTGCTCCCCACGCTCCCCTCAGGTGCTGCCTCAGCCCCTTCCTCTGCAGGGGTGTAGCTCTGGGAGAATCAGGACCGCAGAGCAGTCCCCAGTCCCACCCTGAGCTCTGGCCCTAGGAAACCAGGCACGAGCCCTCCTGCCTCCCCACCCCAAGTCAGGAACAGGTGTCCTCACCCAGAAGGTTCCGGGACCTATGTGAGAGACCAAGACATTTTTACGTAGGATCTGGGGCACAACTTCCACTACCCCTTCACAGTCTTCCAAATTTGTTATCCCAAAACACCCAGCTAAATAAGGGGCGGAAGCAAAATGACTCATCAGCCCATCCTGCCAATTGTCAGGGCAAACCCAGACAAGCCCGCCGCCAGGACTTGGTCTCCACTTCCGGTTTCCCAGGAAATGAGGCCCCTGGGACACCTCAGGCTTTCTCCCCAGGATGGGACTCTGGGTTGGGCCGCTGAGCCTAGGCCCCAGGCCCTTGGGAAGGAGGGAGACGCTGCCTGGACTTGCTGTGGATTCAAGATGGCCTACTCATTTTCAGGTGGAAAACGTCCTGATCGGAGCAGGGGTGGCCCTGGGAATCGGAATTCTGGGTGTCGTCGGATATTCTCTTTGGAAGAAACGCTCCCAAAACCAGTGAGAGCCTGCAGGAGCCACAGATTCCTGGGTAGAAGCAGCTGTGGAGGCCAGCAGAGACGGCCCCCCACAGCCCGCTGTCTACCAGCCCTCGCGCTACAGTGACCTGCAACTCTCCCTCACTTTCCCATCCTCACTGGCTGAAGAACGTGCCGAGCGTACCAATTGAACCATCAATAAATGTATCTACAGAAAGGACTTCCCCTGGGTGTTTGTAGATTTCTGGATCAGAAAGGAGGAACATTAATTCAGCATTAATTGGATACTTTCCAACAACCTTTAGCTGTGCAACGCTGGGAAAGGCTCTTGCCTCTCAGAGCCTCAGTTTCGTCCTCTCTGAGTGGGGGTAATGAACCACTTCACAGGGATGTCATGAGGGTCGCTAAGATGATATGTGAACATGGGGATGCATGTATCTTTTCAAACTAGTGTTTTTGTTTTCTTCAGATAAATAACCCCCGCCCCCAGAAGTGGAATTGCTGGATATCATATTTCTGTTTTTAATTTTTTATGGCATCTCCATTCTGCAGCCATAGTGGCTGTACCAGTTTACAGTTCCACCAACAGGGCAGAAGGGTTCCCTTTTCTCCACATCCTCAACGACACTTGTTATTTCTCATCTCTTTGATGCTAGTCATTTTAACAGATGTGAGCTGTTGTCTTACTGTGGCTTTGATCTGCATTTCCCTGATGGCCGGTGATGCTAACCACCTTTGCATGTACTTGGTGGCCGCCTGTATGTTTTCCATCTTCTTCAGTTGGGTGATTAACTCTGCATTTTTTTCTTTGTTAGTGTAAGGATTTATGCTACAAATTTCTTTCTAAGTATCCCTTTAGTTGCCTGTCCCAAATATTGTTGTCTAATATTTTTGTTATCCTTCAGTTCAAAATATTATCAAATTTCTACTCTTTTCATCTTTGACTCATAATTTATCTAACAACATGTTCTAAAATTTCTGAGGTAGAAGGTTTTTCTAGCTATCTCTTTGTTATTGATTTTTCACTTTATTGCATTATGGTTAGAGAATATGATCTTTATGTTACCAGTTCCTTGAAATTTGTTGAGACTTGTTTTAAGGCCCAGGGTATGGTCATTTTTCATACATTCTTCTGTGTGTGGTCAAAAACAATCCATATTCCACAATTGTGCTATATATGTCCATTAAACCAGCTTGTTGGTAAGTTTTCAGATTTTCTATCTTCTTTAACTTTTATGTCTCCTTGATTTATGAGGTTCTGAGAGAGGTGTATTTAGATCTCTCACTATGACGGTGAATTTGTCCCCTTTTCCTTGCAATAGGCCAAAATTTTCAGTATCTATTTTCAGACTTTTGTTAGATGCAAACAAATTTAGAATTATTATATCTTCCTAATGAGGTAAAACTTAAACAGAAACTTTTTGGAGTGTTTACCAACACTGACAACCAATTCTCTGATTCTCCAGACACTGGCTGGGTGTTCAACAATTCAGTTCAATTTTGACACTATCTATGAGGAATTAGCACAGACCCCACAGTAAGGGCTCAGTCCCACAAGCCTTCCCCTCCACCCCACCTTCAGATGGCATTTCCAAGTCCAAGTCCCAAAGCACCCACACTCTGTCAATGGGGTTTAGATCAGGGATTCCCATGACACCACCTAGGATTCAATAATTTGCTAGCACAGCTCACAGAACTCAGGAAGGCACTTTACTTACAGTTACTGGTTTATTGTAAGAAATACAACTCAGGAGTGGAACAGATGCACAGGGCAAGTTATGGGGGCAGAGGGATGCAAGGAGCTTCCATGCCTTCTTCAGGCACCCCACCTCCCAGCACCTCCATGTGTTCACCAACCCAGAAGCATCATGTCTCCTTGTTTAAGAATTTTGTAGAGCTTCATCTTCAGCCCCCCTCTACCACCCAGAGATCAGCCGGTGGGGCTGAGTTCCAGCTTTCTAATTACTTGTTCTTTCTGATGACCAGCCCCAACCTAAGGCTTTCTGGGGTCCCCAGCCTAAGTCACCTCATTAGCATAAACTTAAGTATAATTCAAAAGGGGCTCATTATGAATAACAAGACACTCCTGGCAGTCAATAAATTCTAAGAGTTAGATTCATATTCACAGAGAAGAAACTGGTGACTGCCATGGGGGAGGAAGGTGGGAATCGGTGGATGAAATAGGTGAAGGGGATAAAGAGGCACAAAGTTCCAGTTATAAAAGACATTAGTCACAGAGATGAGGATACCTGAGTAGACTCTTGTATGAGTATAGCATAGGGAATATTGTAGTATCTTTGCATGTTGAAAGATGGTAACTACACTTATGATGCTGAGGGTTTAATAATGTAGATAATTGTCACTATGTTGTTTACCTGAAACCAATATAATATTGTATATCAACTATACTTTGTGAAAATTAAGAAAGGGAGACTTCACTAGTCGGGAGGCCAGCAGAGGGGACGCTCACACCTGCCACTTCTCCATAAATCTCCCACCCCAGTGGAGGAGACTAATCCCTTACAAGTTAATGCTGTTTGAGCTACTTTGTTCCCCAGCGGGAGGAAGGAAGGCTTCTGCCCTTTCCAGCCAATGAGAGACTGTCACAACTCAGCCAATGAGAAACCATGACACATGGGACTCCAAGTTTACTTCAATGAACTTTTTGCTTAAAACAACCCCCTAACTCAGCCCTGTTCTTCATAAAAGAGTCTTCTTCTCCTTTGTTCTCCAAACTTGGCTATGGTTTTGTCATAACTTGCTTGTCCCATGTTGCAATTCTTTGTTACTACTGAATACACCTGTTTTTGCTAGTAAATTTTATTTTATTTTCAAGGCTAACCACTTCAATTATTATAATTCAATAAATGTAATTTCAATAATTAGAATAAATTACTTTTAAAATAGGAAGAAAGGAAGGAGGAAGGAATTAAGAAATTCCAAGGGTTTTTGGAGCTCTGCCCAGGAACTGAAGACAAAAACCAACTATATTTCTTATTATGCCATACTTTTTATCCTCTTTCTGTCTAGTAATAATTTTTGCCTTGAAGCCTACATTTTCTGATATCAATATGCTTATACCAGCTTTTAGTTAGTATACCTGTTTTTAGTTAGTACTTGCCTAATACATTTTTTTTCTTTTAACTTTTAAAAATTATCATCTATGTTGTGCATTGAGTCCCCTATACAGAATTTTATTGTTGTTAACAACCATTTGATCAATATGAGAGATGCCCTCTCAAAAAAAAATTATTATCTATGGAAGTAGATTCAAAAACCTTATTTAAACTTTCAAGTGAAAATTTCATATACTTTTAAGATGTTTACTATGCAAACTTTTTAACACACAGAAAGCACTAGGAAGATAGTACAGTGATCACCCATATACCCACTGCTTAGATTAAAAACTTGTTTTGTCATATTTAATCTGAACCTATTTTTAATTTGTCTTGTGTTTACATAAGCCTAATGCCATTATCACACTTAATAAAATTAAGAATTCCTTAATATTTTTAATACTCAGTCCATATTAAAATTCTCCAGATTATCCCAAACTACTTTTATAGCTGTTTTTCACGTCTAGTTGTTTTGTCTCCAAAACACCCCTCAGTCTAGGACAGTTTCCACACACCCTCAATTTAAAACAACTGTTTTAAGACCTCTAGTTCATTTATATTTATCGTGGTTTCCAGTATATCTGGAATTAGTCTTTCCATCATATTTATTTCTATACTTCTACTTTTTGGATATAATTTCTTTTATTTATTTTTAATTGAAGTGAATTTTTTGTTTTGCTTTCTTGTATTTATTTTTCCTCATTCCTTTCTTTCTCTGTAATTTGTTTGGAGGTTTATACTCCATGTGTCCCCATCACCTTCTGCTATGTGAGAGGAGGTTTCGGAAGGACCACCCTTTGATTTTGGCCTGTGTCCCTTGGGTTTGGGGAGCTTGGGAACAAGCGTGAGATGTTACATCAACAGAGTGGAGACGAAAGGAAAGTGCACTGGGAGAAAACTATTTTTATATCCACACCAGGGAGTAGATGGGCACGTGTTTACCCTGGACCACACGTGGGCCAGGCAGGAGGGAGCTGGCATGGAGCCGTTTGTTTGTCCCATCCAGGGTGTCAACAGACAGATGGTACCAGGATTGACGAAGGAAACACTCGCAACCAGAGGGAGGAGAAGCCTTGCCCCGCGAAGGGGAGGACAGCTGGCCCCAGCAGAGTTTTCTGAGAAATCTACAAAAGCCCCTTTCAGAGAAATGGTCACTTTGCACAATAGCAGACCTCAAGAAGCCAGCCACCAGGCATACTTTCCCCCCAACCCCTCCAGTGAGGGGAAGGTCAGTCAAAGGGCCAGCTCCATGCCCACCGGAGAAGGTCTGAGGCAACCTTGTACCATGTGACCACCCCCTATCCAACTGAGCAGAGCTGATTTGCCTAGAGGGGTCACCTGACCCAAAGGGCAGCCAATTGGTAGGTAGCTAGACGTGGTGAGCTGAGCCAATCAGATTCTCTCTCTCTCAGGAACTTGAACTGAGAGCCCCCTACAGGCAGTGGGGAGAGATGGCACTGAGTCCCTGCCAGAAGAGCGGTAGTGGGAGCCGGTGGGAGATCAGAGTCTGGGGAGTCATGGGAGAGGACGCGGGAATGCTTGGGGGTGGGAGCCACAAGGCTGAAGGAAGGTGTGAAGAGCAGGGGGAGATCAGAAAGGTTTTAACCAGACTGGCAAGAGCATATACTGAGTTTCTTTAAGGCAGAGGTTTGGTTTGGGTTATGTTTGAACTTTACCAGAGGTCAACAGACTCCAGCTGGGGAGTCCTAGAAGTTCCAGACCAAAGGTCCTAGCGGTCCTATGGGTCCTCTCCTTGTATACCAATCGGATCTGCCTCCGTTAGAGCCCACGTGTAACCTCACAACCAGAAATGCCCATTACTTGAGATAACCAGAGTTGAACTCTGTTTCTTGGAAGATAAAGAACACGGCCTGCAAAGAGAAAGTGAAAGAAAGTCGCCAAAAGACCTGAGCACATCCTGGAGTAGGAACAGGGCCCAGCTGTGCCTCCAACAGATTTCACACCAGGCAGGTCTTCCTGCATTTCCCCCAATAAAACCCACCTTGTGGGGGCTTTCTTTTATTCTGTGAAAATAAGCCTTATTATAAAACAGAATGAAATCCACAAACCAAACCTCTGGCAATAGGAGTACCCCTTAATGCATCAAGTCATTGCTGACGCGACAGTCCCTTCAATCTATTGCTTTTCTCGCTTGTTTCTTGACAGCATAACTCCAACGAGGCCCACAGCTGCCAAGCCTACTCCTGCGATGCCAGCTGCCATGACAGCATCTCTGACCTGCAAGAGAGAGAGGGGTTGATCAGGCTCCGTGTCAGGAATCTGAGCACATGCTGTACATTCAACAAGATTCAGCTCAGGGCACCTCGCATGTCCCTTGGCCTTCTTGACAAGCTCTGGAGTCAACAAATATTGGCAGGGAAACGGGGAGCAGAGAGCTGGATAGGGAAAGAATTAGTGGAGGGAGCCAGCTGGCCAGGAATATATATACATGGCCCTGAAGAGGGAAACTCAGTTCTCCCTGTGGTTATTTAAAGTACATAAATCCCTAGAGGGTGGCTGTGGAAAGGACAGAGAGGTGAAGCAAGGATTATGGAGGTCCTGGCTGGCCAATAGGGAGCAAATGTGAAGTCTAGCAGAAACTGCAATTGAACACCCTATAAACTATGACCTTCACGAGAACAAGGACCTCACTTGTCTCCCTTGTCTTATTCATTGCTGTTTCCCCAGCATCTGGTCCTGCCAGCCACAGAGGTGCTGTACATGTTCACAAATACATGACTCAATTATGAATAGTATTGATGTTATACTCTAAATTATTAAGATTTCTTACTTGTATTGCTGGTACTAAAAAAAAGAGTATTACAAAAGTAAGAGTAAAGTTCAGGTAAAAACTGAACATGTGTCAATTTCACTCCCTCTTGGAACTCGACAAAATGTAAGGCATTTGTTTTAGGCATAATTCCACAAGGACCCAAAGAACACTAAATGCTGAGGCAGCAGTAAGAAAAATTGAGGGTCAATCCTAATGATACAACAAAATTCTTGGAAAAGATCATGTTTGGAGCCACCTGGTACCTCTGGAAATGAGAGAGAAATACTTTAGCTAGGCCCCTTCACCCCTTCCCTAACCACAACAGAAGTCTGACAGTTTATTCTCTAGAGAGGGAGATTTAGGAGCCTGGAAATCTGGAAGCACATGTGAGAATGAAGGTATCATGCCTAAAACAAGAGCTTAAAAGATCATAAATATGCTAAATGTAAGACTCTTTGCCCCCCTACCCCTCCACACAGAGTTAGGAAAACTTTTCTGGGGAATCTCACCAGCCCAAACGGAGACAAAAAATACTAATCTATACTGAGGATTCCCAAGCCAACAGCCCACCCACATCACACATAAGTGACAGGCAGAGCCAACGAGCCACTGTCCCCTCCCAGCTCACTGAGAGCTTTCATTGTGTGACAAGCTCCCCACCCTTAATCAAGAGCATACCACCAAGGTGCCACACATCTGCGGATCACCTCTAAGATAGAAGAGCAAAACAAACAGAAAGAAAGCAATCTGGAGAGGCAGAAACCGTGTCTAGAAAAGAAGACATCTTTTTTTTAAAACTATCATTAGAGAATAGGAGAACATATTGTATCCGATAAATAAGAACATGATGCTATAAAAGACAGAATGTTGAGAAAAAACCAGTTGTTAGAAAGTAAAAGTACAATAAAAGTGACAGCTCAAGGCTGAAAGATAAAGTTGAGGAATCTCTCAGTAGGAACAGCAAAAAAGATAAAGATTTAGAAAACAGAAGCCAAAGGTAAAATATAGGGAACAATCCAGGCAGTCCAATATATGAATAATAGACTTTCCAGAAAGAAATAATACAGGAAACACAGAAGAAAAGAATCAAGAGGGAAGTAATTCATGAAAATTTGCCAGGGCCAAAGGATGTATGTTTTTGGAGTGAAATGGTCCTCTGAGGCCCATCTTAATGCATAAAAGCAGACTGACACCAAGGCACATTACTGTGAAATTTTAGAACACTGGAAAGAAAAGACATTACAACTGCTAGATCAGAGGAGAAAAGAGGGAGCACACAAAATATCAGGAATCAGGATTGCTTCAAATTTCTCAAGAGCAATGCTGGAAGCAAGAAGACAATGGAACAGTGCCTCCAAAATTCTAAAGTAAAACAATTTCTAACCCCAGAATTTTATACCCAGACAAACTATCAAATCAAGTAGGAAGGTAAAATAGAAAATAATTCAGACAAACAGGGTCTAAAAAATTTACCTTTTCATGTATCCTTTTTCAGGAAGCTGCTGAAGGTGGTTCTACCAAAACAAGGGAGTAAACCAAGAAAAAAGCCATGAGATACAGAAGAGGGGCTCTCTAGTACAGGAGAGAGAAGGGATTTCTCTAGAATGATGGTGAGGGGAAACTCCAGGACAACATCTTTGTACCAAGTGTAGAG